AGAATGGTTACCGTTTCCTCGGGGAGGTATGCATATCTGATGTCAATTATTGCTTAGTCTGATGAAGTCTTAAACAATAATCCAGTCAAGGCGTAGGGAGCGGTTATGAAGAAAGCTCGCTGTTAATAGAGAGTAAAAGTGCTCAAGTGCACTGACTCAACTAGCCTTAACATAATAATAAATATTATAACTAAAGACTTTTTTGAACGAATTTCTTATGGAAATGATTTATTGTTAGGAAGGAAATGAAGGTAAAAAATAAATAGTTTTTTACTAAAAAAATTTAAAAATATTATTTTCAGTAATAAATTTTAAATATTTTTCCCACATTTTTAATTAAAAAAACATGTAAAAATATATTAAATTATGCAATAAAATTAATAACAAAAAATTTAATTTTACACAGAAAATTCCTAATGCATCTAACAAGTGCACTTAGCTGACTTTAATTGCAGTTAAATATTTATTGACATCTCAACATCGCCTTGTGACAGCGCTACATGGAGTATAAATTTTTTTTACCGCTTGCCGGCCGCTGTGTCTGTCACTGGAAACTGTCAAAGCGATTTTATGGTCAAAATGTTACGCACGCAGCGACACCATTTCCACAATGTGGGTTTGCTTTCAGCCGGTTGCGATACATGCTTTGCGATATTATGTGCGCGATTGCAATGATCACGGCAACCGCACTCGTAACTGTAATTTACTATATCTTTTTATAATGGCATAATATCATTTTAAACAAATACTTTCATGTATCTTTTTCATGTATTTTCTTCTCTTTAATTTCTGTGCGCAATTGTTTGGAAAACTGCATGACATGGCCTAACATAAAGATACTTGTGAAAAACATCAGCTTATATCTGATCTGCAGATCTAAAAATTATGTTGGCAAAAAAAATATATATTGTATATAAAATATCTTTATTATTATGTATAATTTATTTCAATTTTCTATTGCAAAATTAATGTTATTTTAAATCCGTTTTTACTATTATTTTCTATCACGCCGCAATATTTCTGCGCAAGATACTTTTAATTTTTTCAATAATATATGACAACGAATATGTGTGTAGTTTTCTGCTGATTATGGACTTCGTGAAACTAACATAAATTATTGACATTATTTTCATTTTTACTTCAAATCAAAGTTTACAGATATTGGTTTAAAATGACCAAATATTAATATTACAAAAAGATTTATATTAGATTTACTAAGAAAATAAATTCATGATTGAAATAAATAATTATAAAGTGAGATTTTATTATGTTATATATAATATATAATATGTAAAATATTATTAAAGTTCAATAATTTATATATATATATATAATTAAAATGTTATCTGTAATAGTGTTATGTCTGAGCGTACTATTCAACCGATTGTCAGAAAAATATATACATTGAAAAGATAATTTCTAGCCTTTAGAATGTTTAGAAAAAAAAAATCAAAAAAATATTAATGTATATGAATTTTACAGAGACATCAATATTAAATTGATTTATTTTAAATTAAATATTAAATTTTTTTTTCATTTATTAAAACTATTGTGAAATTTCCCAACAGTCGGTACTGTGGCCAGAAGAATCACATTGCACTAAATTCCACTTTTAATTACACAAATCCCTTTAAAGCTTTGTAAACAAAGTCCAGAAATAAATTTGGAGAAGAACTCTAAAAACTATCATCCTCACTACAAAAGTTGTGGAAACCCGCAGGAGAAAGAAAACATAATACATTTTCTCTGTGACTGCCCGGCTTTGGCGTCCAGAAGGAAGATACTTCTTTAATTGTTTATCAGACTGTTCATCGGTGAAGACGAAAGACTTATTAAAATAATTAAATTCGGTGAGATGGATTTAGTCTCTATTCTATAGAGACTATTCTATAGTATAGAACTGGGGTTCTTGCGAGGAATGTGGTAGCAAAACGGCGAAAAATCGCTAACTATGGTACAAGTTACCTAATGGCCTGTCACTGCAACCAACCAACCAAATAAACTATTAAACAGTAAAATTTAATTTTATTCAATTGATTTGTTCTTGAATATCGTTTAGAGTATACTTTTAATATTTTTTGAGGTGAGTGAATTTATTGTGAATTAGATTTCCTTTTTTGAACATATTATGTTCTCAATATAAGATTAATTTTTCCTATTGAAACCAATGCCGCCAGAGCGAGAAAATACTACGGAGGCGTATGCGGCAAATCAGCTTAGATCGTAGAAAGGAAAAAAGCGAAGCATGATTGCAAGATAATCGCTTAAGACATAATCGATTAAGGATAATCGTTTTTTCTTCTTGAGTTTTGCGTAACTTAAATAATTTTGAATACACAAACTAAAATTTATATAATATAGAATAAAACTCAACGTACACCGCCCATAAGTCACTTGTGCATCTCTAAAGTTCTTGCTTTTAAGATATCCACCCTGTAAATGTTTTGGTTTCCTTAAGTTTTTTCTATTATTTTTGCATTCTTAATTTATAATCATTATGAATAGTTTACAGCTCATACGAGTACAATAAGTAGCTGTAACTAGTTCAGTTAGCATCATAGCTACACAGTTCCTAACTATACAGTTTCACAACTTCCTTCCATCATTCACTGTTTTTTGCGTTTGTTTTCATTTGCTGGTATTAATCTATCTGAGATCTTACACCTCATGTTATTCTCAGTTTTTATCATTTCCTTATCCTTCCATATTTGCTTTTCTCTTTTTATGATGGTAGCCTTTCTTTTAAAATATAAATCATATCCTATTTAGTTAAGTAATGCTTTCTCGGCTCTAAGCTTTGTTTTTATGTGATGTGTTTCAATATCTTTTTTATGCATTAAGGGAAATGCACAGGTGTGGTTGGTTGTAAATTTCGCTTTGGTTTAAATTCGCTTAAGTTTATGGTTCGCTTACGGTACGTAGCGGATAACTTAATCAAGTAATGGTATAGTATATGTTATATTTATCGTATATATCGTGTCATGTATCGTATATATTTGATACGAAAGATTCCATTTTCCTCGATCGGTGCAAATATTTTACGTATTTACTTTCTTTTAAATAAAAATAGCTTATTCATTCTACATCTAATAATCTCCGAGCTTTACACCCTTAAGTTACTATGCCCATATTATTGTTACATACATATAACAGTAGTTCTTTTTTTCTTGATATTTTTTCAAATAACATAAGCTTCTCCATGCTATAGTAGGATCTATATCCAGATAGAATACAATGTTCATTATTCTGGGTGAACTGTATTTTAATAACACTTCAGCGTTACAAAGTAAGTAAGTATTTGTAGTTATTTATCTGGGTTCATATGTGATTTGTATTGTTTGTTAATTTAATAGTTTTGAAAATTTTATGACTCCCGTCAATTTCTTCCTAAAAAATCTGGACAACTGCGCAATAAAGTACCCGGATTTTGTAAATAAAACACAAATATAAATTTTATTCCAAATTTATTTTATCTCCTTCAAAATATGCTCCTTCTGAAGCGATACACATATGCCAACGCTTAACCCAATCTTCCACACACTTTTCGTAGGCCCGTGAAGGTATGCCTTTTAGTTCCTTCAGCGAATTCTCTTTTACCGATTCAATCGACTCAAAACGCTTACCAAGAAAGGGCAATTTGAGTTTCGGGAACAGGAAAAAGTCGCACGGCGCCAGATCTGGCGAATATGGTACCTGAGCGACGACCGTGGTGGCGTGTTTGGTCAAAAAATCGGGTACAACAAGAATTTTCCATAGTAAAAATCGCTAAATGCACTTGAGGTAGTCTGACATTAACAGCTGCTGTAAACAAACTAATTGACACATAGCGCTCAAATTTGTACCATATATCAAGAAAGGGTGTACCAACATAAAAAAACTTTTTTGAAGAAGGTCTATTACTTAAGGAGTAGTTAACAAACAACAAAGGAGTAGTTAACTGTTTGAGCAGAAGGTAGATAACAGCTCAATAATATACAGTATAGATAGCATGCATTTATGTGGACTATATGTAAACTTTTAATATATTTTTTTGCAAAAGTCAATTTATTTAAGTGAAAATGTAATATATTTAAAATATAAAAGAACCAGACTTCGGTTTAGAATACAATAGAGTAAAAATTTTTTTAATTAAAATTAATTTTTATTACTCTGTTGCATATTTTAATTTTATATATGTTCACTTGTTTGACAGTTAATGGAAATAATGCACTTTAAATCGTGTGAACATGAACCTGTGCCATTAAAGACTGCAACACGGCAACCGGTCACAAACATGCAAGTGGCAGGAAATCTGAAGCACATAAAACTGTTATAAAAAAGTATCTTGATCGATGGTTGCATTGCTTTATTGTCCGCAATTTCATGATCATTAGTTTTTCTTTCAAGTTGAGAAATACTTGGGCTCGTATACATTTTTTCTAGACATTAGCAATGTAGATTCTATGAAGAATTAACAACGCATGCGTCTAAACTTAAAAAAAGTTAAAGTTGTAACTTGAAATTTTCAGTTGCGTTTTTGTTTTTTGTTTTAGAGCGAAATAAATGGAGTACTGCCGCTGTCTGTGAGGTTATTGTTACTTCAGCTATTACTGATGCTGAAAATACCAGCCAACATTTTATCATGAAGGTTGTCTCGAACGCCTTTGCACTCGTTGGAATTTTTCTCTGGAATTATACATTGTACACATATATAAACTCTACTGTACATAAAGCAAGTTTACTATTTATATGTAACATCACTTCATAAGCTGCTGCCATATAAGAGTACATTGATCTTCGGTATAGCAAAAGAAGTTGATGGTTCGCATATTTTTAATAATTTCAGTCTTTTTTAACTCCAACTCTTTTTCATTATTTAGAAAAAAATAAAAATTATTATTACAGTCTTTTGTATTTTAATGAGCATTTATGGTGGTCATAACATATTTTACAAATTGTTAGTTAAACATTATAATTTTTGTTTAGTTTTTTTTAAAGTTTAAATAAATTAAAGTGTTTACCAATTCACAGCGGGATTGATCTCCACCAGTAAAGCTCCATCAGTATCGCGCATATTCGAAATATATTAACTTCAACTCGCTTCACTTCACTTTAAAATTGTTTACAGAATCGCTTAGACAAAAACACGCACTTCAATATTTCATATCATTTTTTGTTATTATTAAAATTATTTAAATTATTTAATTCATTTTTTTTTATTTTGTTTGAGTTTCTTTATACGAGCACTTATGAGTTTAAAGACAATACTAAAGTATACATCTGTTGTTCAATAACTACAACCTTTGCGGTTATTCATTCATATCTGTTGTAGTTCTCGTCTATACGCTCTTGAAAACTATAAAATATAATGATTTGCTTAATGTATCTTTTCATTATTAAAGTTTTTTTCCCGCCGCCACGCCACAACATTGAACTTAAACTAATGCAACCCAAAAGACGTTTTCATCTATTGGCAGCGCCATAAATTAGCTTGGCTCTTGTGAGTGGTTGTATCTTTTGTACTTCATTTAAAGACATTTGTATATCTTTGACTGTGAAATAGTTTTCTTTACCGCTGTGCATTGTAACACAAAACCAGTAGTTATCCATAATAAAAGTATATAGAAATCGTTATTAAAAACTCGTGTAATGAGTGCGCATAAATTACTTCATTTCATTACTTTATACTATTTTATACTATTTTATATTTCACTGCCTTTACTGGGTGAGTGAGATCAGGCATGAAAAAGGTGCTGAAACTGCACTTAGTCAGTGGTTAAGGAAATACTTGTAAGCCATAAACTAATATATAAACTGAATTAAGAAATCATATCTAACCATAGTAAATCGATATACAAACTATGTATATAGGTATATCCACACAAGTTGACCGCAAAGCAGCGGCAAATATATTGCTCATTGGTCAGGAAATTATAGAAAGCAAATAATATTTCCTTTAATTGAATTAAGTAGAAGAAATATTAAAAAATTAAGTCACACTTAAATACCAAACAAAGTGAAGTTAAAGCGGATTGATTTTATTAAATGTTAATTAACATAATGAAATTAATTTCATTTCAGTTATTCTTATTTCTTACTAATGTTGATTTTTGTTACAAATGTATTCATTTTATTTTGTCACGCAACAATCTATATTATAATATATAGATTAATATTAATGAGTAAATAGGAATTATGCGACTTGAAAGAGTTATAACTGCACATCATATAGCTTTGCTTATTGTTGTTGTAACCTGCTAAGAACTACTTGTACAGTCCCTTTG